CTCAATTAATAAACACCTTGTCATTTTAGTATGCTTTAAAAATTTAACCATGGAATTAATCTCATAAATATTGTAACTTATCATTAAATACTTAAGCATGCTCTAACTCAACGAGTAATTAACACATAGGCAGGTAAGCAAGTAAGCAATTAGGCATGCTTTTTAAAAAAAAAAAAAAAATTTAAACACTTAGCACAGAAGCATATAAACATGCAATTCAACTTCCCATGCAATCCTGTGTAGGCCTCTACCCGTCGTCTTAATGGTATTCGAACCATCGCTCTGATACCAAACTTGTAACGACCCGAACCCGTAGGTCCGAACCGTTAGCTAAGTCCTTAACCGAACCCGAGGTCAACTAGGGATAACACCATTCTTTCCTACGTCAATACATATTATACGTGTCATTCCGGATTTATAAAAAAAAAAAAAAAAGTAATAATAAATAAGTAAATAAATAAATAATAATATGAGATTATAGATACAAAGTATGTCAAAACGGTCTACTAACCCATCGAACCCTGTAAAGGAACGTCGTCCGCCACTTCCCTTCCATGTCCTGAAAAATATTAAAATAATAGGGTGAGCATAAAGCTCAGTAGGTGGCGCCTAAGACACACCTCTTGTGACCCCGTGAATCCAAACAATAAATAGAAATAGGAAGCGAGGTCATACTATACCGGGAAGGAATACAACATTAATTCCAATTCCAAAATCACAATGCCGTGCCATGATACGTGATGCCATGAATGTCGCTCCCCATTTTCAAAATCCAAATCCATCACTTTTCAAACTGTTAATATAACATGTCCGATGGTGACTCTGCGGCTACACGAGAAAATGATTGGCTACTGTTCCTGACTATTCGTACCTCCGCGGCATCATTTTGGGCCCAGATAGCTCAATCACGCTAAGGCGATCTCCCTAGTTCCGTCTAGGTTATATGAACTCCACGGCCCTTTGGTAGCTCCGCGGCGACCAGGTTTATCACAAAACTATTTCATCAAATCTTTTTCCCAAAAATCTTATTTTTCCATTTCAAAACAATTCTTTCCTTTTTTCCTTGCCCAATGCTATGGAAGCATGCCACGTATTTTTCCAATAGTATGAAAATAGAAGAAATTTACACTTCACAATTTAACATGCTTCTTCATAGGAATTTCTAGGAAAATAATAAACACCATGGCATGAAAATTAACATTTAGGCATGCTTCTCACATAATACCATCAACACATATAAGCATAAACTTTCTATTACAACAATTATATCATTTTCAAGGCAAACAATTTAAATAAGGCATGCTTCATAAGAAATTCTAAAAAAATTTATACATGCTTACATACATCATTTCTAGCAATTAGTAATACAATAGGCATAGGAAATCAACATTTAAGCATGTTTTTCATACACATCAATTAAAACATAAAATCAAGAACCTTATACATTACAATAAAATCATTCTAGAGTTAATTAACATTAATTAAATATGTTAGCAATAATTAACAAAAAAAATTGACTTACAAAGGAACAAGAAATTGGGAATTAGAAACCCCTACCTCAAATTAAGCCAAAAACCCCCCAATTAGGTCTCAAAAGCGGAATGCCTAGAGTGCACTAAAACTGGAATTGCTTATATGGATGTGAAGATCTCGCCATGCTCTTTAATTTGCCGCAAACGGCACTTAAAAATACCATGAATTGAAAGAGAAATCAAGAAATGAACTTTGAGACCAAAAGGAAAAGAAAAATCCAGAAGAAGAGGGAGAGAAAAGGAGTTACGGGAGAGAGAAAAATGAGGGAGGAAATGTGAGGTCTTAATGACCTCTTTGGCCTTAAATGGTGGTGGTGGGTCCCACCACCAAAAATGATTTTCTTTTTCTTTTTATTTCAATTTCCTTTTTGCACCACACAAATATATGTCTATACAAACTATATAACACCCACATAAATTACATTAAATAAAATGCATGGGATGCCAATGGACCCAATTAAAATCCCTGTATGCAATAATTCCGGTAGCGGGTCCCACACAGTACTGTCCGGTCCGAAAAACTAAAAAATGCCGAAATGAAAACCTTGGCATTTCAAAGAGTCCTGGAGTCAATAAAATGTCCCAACCAACTCTCGGACACAACCGGCATACTCCACGGTGTCTAGCACGCAAAACGAGAAAAGACGAGAATGCCCTTGCAAGAACGAAAAATTCTAGAAAAATGGAAAATGGCGAAATTTAGAAATATTACATTTAGGGAAAAAGCTTGAGAAAGCAAACACTATAATAACATGATTCTAAGGGTGCTGGACCCCTATCTTAGCATGCCTCTACAATTATTTATAGAAAAATAGAACGTAAAACAAACTCTTATATACAAGTATTTTACTTGCAGTACAACTCTATCAAAACTAATTATAAATTTAAAATAACCTAATCTAAAGATAAACATAAATATTCCTTTGAAGTTAACTAAAGGATAAATACTACAATTGTTATCCCTATCTATCACCTACTTCAAATACCTCATATTCTGTTGCGTGCAATTTGTCTTCCACGTAAACAATATAACTTCTCTTTTGTTCAAACTATATCCACGTCATTGGTCCATAGTACTACCGAATGTTCCATTTCAGCCCAATGCTTACTGTCACGTCAATACCCATGTAATTTACCAAAAAGGGTGTCAACAATTGTGATACCCTCTAATTTCAGAACATGGGTTGATCAGGTCCGCACACAAAATCAGGGGATATTAGCCAATCAATAACAAATAAGCACAGAATACAAGAGGAAAATAATAAAATAAGTAAATAATGCTGAAAAGAAAATCTAAATTAATAATTAAATAACCAATCCTCTTATACAATAATCTCTAATAAATTCCCACCAATAAATTCCCATACTAAAAATAAATAAATCTCCAAAGAATAACTCGGGAATCCATACCATGTAGACCTCTAATAAAAATCCCAAACTGCTAAACAAATAGTGAATGTCTATCTCATAAATAAAAAATATATATAATGTAGAGTCCTACGTTGATGACACCAAAAGAGTGAAGAAGACCGGCCTCAGCTCTGCATAACCTGACTCTACGCCTGGAACTGACAAGGACCTGAAAAGATAACAACAAAAGTAGGTCAAAACCTACGAACACGCCCTTTCTACTACATCCCAAACAGAGACCCGATAACAATCCATCCTAGTCCGACTCATGCAATAGCTATATAGGTCAATGTACATAAGTATACACACTATAGACTCTCACTGGATCATAAGACAGCCTCAACCGGATAGTAATTCTTGCAATCAATTTTCCACTTGGTCTCTTCAAAGGCTGACATATGTCCCACGTTTCCTTGCTATTTTTCTTCTGCCATAGAATTTCTTCTCTTTCAGACACGATTTTAGCCTTGACACCCATAATTTTTAACAACTTACTTCAGTTAGTGGTGGTTACCTTTTGAAGCACCACCACTTTCAATTGATATATATATATATATATATATATATATATATATATATATATTATTGTTTGACCAAGTAACTCACGATCTTTATATTCTCTTCCATCTGCAGACTCAGTCCTTCCCTATAATTCCATATATACATGCATATATGTCTATATCTGTTTGTGTTGCAGACCCACGTCTCCTTGATTTCAAGTATCCTTCTTTGGTTGGACTTTCCATTCTGGCTTCATGGCATCATGGTTCCTTTCCATGGTTCCACCGACTTCATAGCGTGGGTTGTGTTTGTGGCACCCCCTTAATTTTAGCGACCTCCTTCCATCGTGAAACTTTCCTTCTGAGTTTTGGAGTTCATGGAGCCATGTATTCCTTTATTATAGCAATTTCCTTATCGTGGATAATATTCCGGTATATCTATATATATATCCAAAAATACATTTTTTGCCTTTTCAACAAACAACCAACCTCCTCTTTATATCAGCCACGTTTGTTTGAAATAGCCAGCAATATCCGTTGAAGCTTCCTACAATTTAGGAGATAATTTCCAACAACAATTTTCTAAAGAATTATAAAGTGTGGTAAGTTCCATAGAACTCGCCATGTGTCAAGAGTCAATTGATTGACTTAATCTTGAGAAATTACCTGAAATTGTATTCATGGTAATATTTCCATGTCATAATTTCCCTTTCCAAAATAGGAGAATGTGGACCCTTGATTTAAAGATGACAAGTCCAATTCCCAATTGGACTTGCTTCTTTCCTTTTAAAATAGAAAGCTCCACATGGTAAGACTTTGGTGGGTCCACGCATTCCTTGCTTAATTCCATATGAGATCACGTAATTTAAATACTCTGAATGGAATTTTCCAGAGTTGTGATCCACCATAGCAAGTTCCATTGGAACTTTACACGTGCCTCTTCTGTATTGGTAGATTGCATCTAATTTCCCTTCAACAATTTCAACTCATATGTTCCTTTTAGAATACCAATCCAATGGGGCAAGTTCATTGGATCTCGCCACATGTCGCCTTTTCATTGGACTAAAACTAATGGTGTAAACAATATACTATGGTAGGATTTGAGATGGATTCTAACCCGTTGAGAACCCGTGTGATAAGTACTGTCCATTTTGTAATTGAGCTTGATGGTAAAGTCGTTGCAGATGCTGTTAACTGATCCTCTTCTTGTCCCATTCATCTTCAACCAGTGGTGGAGGACATTCAACAGTGGCTTCATAGTTAACGATTTTTCTGTGAGCTTTGCTTCTAGGTCAGCCAGTGGGGCTGCCCATGCCTTGGCTCATTTTGGTCCAAGTATTAAGTGTAATATTGCTTTCTTTTTACGGCATACCACTACCATATACGTCACCATTATATTCATCCACTATGCTTGTCACAAGTCCCAACCGCTGCTAAATTCCAATTTTAGGATCAACTTTGGACAAATTTGAGGAAAAAACTTTCATCCCATTTCGCTTTAATTCGTTGAATTTTGTGTCGAATCTAATTTGAGATACCAAATGCATGTAGTATTCTTGCCAGAAAGATTTTTGGTTGAGTGACTGATAGTCGGAAGTTGGATTCGCAAGGTACGTACTGCCTTACGACTATAGTCTTAGCCAATGTGTATAGGAGCTGTCCCCACTCCTGAAGACCCAGTTGGGCTAACTTTTTTGGCTTTGAAGCAATTTTCCTATTCCCCTTGTCTTTTAATGAAAGAGTGCACTTGCTCTTACTGGGAGCCCACTTGGGACTTTGTGTTGTGCACTAAAAAAAATCCTTTTGTGGACAGACCTTCCACACAGGATTGGATAGAACTAGGGCTCATTTGTTCTCTACAAGCAAACGATCTAAATGATTATTAAAATAGGAATGAGGGGAAGCAAAAGAATGCCAGTACTGCAAATGTTCCAGCTGGTTCATCTAATATCTATTATCATCGTCGTTGTCGTCCTACTAATTAAGGAAGCAAGTTCAGCCTCTAATTATTCTATGGTGAAGCCCAACTGCCCAGTGAAATGCGGGGATTTGAGGATTCCATATCCATTTGGCGTAGGGAAAGGATGTTACTTAAACAAGAAGTTTGAAGTCACATGCAATAAATCTACTCTCTACTATTCCCATTCCCATTTACAAGTGTTCCGATTCTCTTTGGATCATCACTATGCAACTATTGATGGCCAGGCTGCTGTTCTTTGTCACGACAACAAATCTGGACAAAGTTTTATTCAGTCTGTGTTTTCAAGTTTGGACCAAGAATTCCGAATCTCTGGCACCCAAAATAAGTTGGTTGCCATAGGATGTGACTTCTTTACTTATATCACTGAATTTGAAAGTGCAGAATACATAAGTGGTTGTTCATCACTTTGCTATAACACAAGCAGGGATAGCATTTCCGTCCCTCCTTCTCTTGATCATAATATAAATCACTCTTCTTGCTCAGGCATTGGTTGCTGCCAGACTAGTCTTCCAAAAGATCTCATCTCCTTCGAGGCGCGCAGCCTTTCCATCAATACAGAGGGACGGTCCTGGGCCTTCAAGCCATGTAGCATTGCTTTCATTGCAGAAAACAACTTCACAGAATTCAGAAAATTCAACATCTCTGGTGTTACTCATTTCAGTGTCTTGCCTGGTGTCCCAACGGTGATTGACTGGGCAGTTGGGAATATCTCTTGTCATGACGCTCGCGCAAGATCAGACTATGTATGTGGCCCTAACAGTTACTGCATAGAATCCAGTAGTAATTACGGCATAAGATATAGATGTCATTGCTCTCAAGGATACCAAGGGAACCCTTACCTCCAAATTAATGGATGCCAAGGTACGTAATACAGATATATGTATATATGCATATGTATATGTACTACTTTATTTATTCAGCTTGCATATCTGAATAAACAGATGCTGTATATGCTACCTGGTGTCCCTTCCGTGGTTTTTTGGTTGGTATCAACATTCAACAATACTAGATAGGGAAAGGAAGTACAGATGCTATATATACCAAAATTTTATTTTTATTTTTTATTTTTTTATTATTATTATTTTTAAACATAATAACATGAGATCACAATTAAGCTAATTGAATCCACACTAGTTGCTCTGTTTTTGGCCTTGTGGCTGGTTTAATCTGTTGCTGCTTGTTGGCCTTACTGGGTTTGTCTGCTTTGTATATTCTTCCCTTTCTTTTTATAGTTCCCATTATAATTTTATTTACCAAGAAAAAGAAAAAGAAGGAATTTAAATGAAAATTTTATACTTAATGTACAAGTTTCTTATTTAATTTTATGATTTTTTGCCCCTTGTTGATTCAAAAGACATTGATGAGTGCAAAGACCCAAAAAATTGTTGGGAAACGTGCTAGTTTTAAAAACTTTTTGAGGAATTTTAATTCATACATCTTGATTCATCACATAGAGACAAGTTTTATGCAAAAATAAAAATATGATGTATCATTCAATTAATGGATTGAATACTTACATCAAAGGTATGAGTAAACCTTTAAAACTTTCCTCGAAAGTGAATGTTCTCACTTATTGTAAATCCCTTAGCAAAATGCCTTCTCCTTAGATCTCCATCTTCTTGGTAATTATTTTGCCTTTAGGAATCACTCATAAGCCTCCATGAATTACCTTGGAAAACTAGGCTTGTGGGAGCCTCTATTAAATAAGAACATAAACCCTAATTTTCTAGAGAGAGAAAATATATATTCCTTTTTCCTTCTACTAAAAATCACCCCTAAAATATACATAAACCATGTATATTTATAGGCAACATAAAGGTAAAGAAAAGGAAGCAACTAATCCTTCTCAATCTCTAATTCACATGTCTCAAATCTAATATGATTCCAATATCAAGTTGGGCTATGAGTGAGAATCCATTGGGCCTATTATTTTATTGGCTACAATGAATTAATAATTGGCCCGGTCCATGGACCCAATTCAATTAATTCATAAATTAATTTCTACTCCACTAAAAGAAATTAATTGAACTCCAATTAAATAATAAATAACCTGTAAGTCAATATTGCACTTTGACCCCTCTATGCATAATTAGTTATCGAATAAACAAAGCCATCAATCCGACTACTTAATTAATATATTTATTTTGGTACCTTTGATTATTTCTGGCTCGATCACAATAAAACATTTGTTTGACAAAAATAATAATTTAAATAAATAAATATATAATAAATCATTTTGTCTAAAAATACACGAAGGCATTCGAATTTACTTTGTGATCAACCATAATCAATACAAAATAAATATAAGTAGCAATGATGCAAATATTGAAAATATAACCCTCTAACTATTAATTACATAACTACCCAAAGTGTCGGTCTAAGGATCCCGAAGAATCTGCCGAATAAATCAAAGTAATTATTAATTAATAAAAGAGTCTATAATTTTCTCATACTTAAGAGTCAAATGCCATGACGGTGATAGGGAGCAATTGCATACGACGGCTCTCGCAATATATCTCAACCTAACGCGGATCCAGTTCAAATCTTAATTAATTATGAGTCCATCTATAATTATCGACTATGAACCATTTATGATTACTATTTATATATCATGCATTGATTGCCATCACAAACATATATATAAATATCTCTTGTAATCAAATGGACACTATCAATTCTATAATGAATCGAAATATAATACATTGAATTCACCAATTGTATAAAACATAAATATTTCATAAACGTCAGGAACATATGTCACTTTAATCCAAACAGGAATTTGTTATGCCAGGGCATATAAATCCCAACAGCTCCCACTTGCCCTCATAGCCAATTCAAATTGCACCTAACTCCAATGTTATCCAGATGATGATCAAAATTATTGATCAATAACACCTTTGATAATGGATCAACAAAATTGTGTTCCAATGCAATGTTCTAGCCACAAGTACATTTTCCTCATAGCCAATTCAAATTGCATCTAACTCCAATGTTATCCAAGTGTTGATCAAAACTATTGATCAACGACACTTTTGTTAATGAATCAACAAAGTTGTGTTCCAATGTAATGTTATAGCCACAAGTACATTTTCTTGCCGGGCAATATCATGTAGAACATGATACTTCCTATCAGTGTATTTTGTTCATCTATGGAACCTTGGGTCATTGGTTTGGACTACTTCTGCACTATTGTCGCAATATAGCTCGATAGGCAGGCTAGTATGCTCCACAACCTCTAAATCAGTGAGATCAAACCAATAGGCTTCTTTTGCCGCCTTTAAGGCTGCAATATATTCCACCTGCAGGTTTGAGTCAGCAGTTGAAATCTGCTTAATAATCTACCAACTGATTTTCCTTCCATTAAGTGAACATACACTAAGTCATGAACCTCATAGTATCTACTTCTGATTGAAAATCAGAACTAGCATACCTGACTAGGACCATATCATCACATCCATAACTAAGTATGATATCCTTAGTCCTCCTTAGATACTTAATGATATTTTTCACAACAGACCAGTTATCAAGTCCAGGATTGGACTGATATCATCTGACTATCCCTACAATGTAGCGGATGTCCTATTTGGTATAGACTATGGCATATATGAGACTCTCATATGCCAAAGCATATAGTTTCAGTCTCATTTGCTCAATCTCCTCTGCTAGTCTTGGAAAACTACTTACTAGAGAGAGCAATCCATATCAATAAAGCAAGAACTCATTCTTTGAGTTATACATACCAAACCTGGTCAAAACTTTATTAATGTAGGATTATTAAGATAAGCATATTTTCCTTTTAACCTGATCTTGCAAAAGCTTGATCCTAGGAATATAACTTACATCTTGAAAATCCTTCATTTAAAAGTAATTGAACAACTACCTTTTTATTGATGACAAAACTTCCACGTCATTATAAATAAGTAGGATGTCATCAATATATAGAATTAAGAAAAATAATGACATTCCCTTGTACACTCATGATTTATTCACTAAGAAATCTTCTAGTATCTTTTTGTAGATTAACTTGCCTTCCATAGGTATCACCCTACTAGAAAGTTCTACAAGATTCCAGAATTTATTAGAATACATAGATTCCAACTCTGATTTCATAGTAACTCGCCAAAACGATCTGTATCCATATCGGTTCACGCTTCCGTGTAGCTTACTGGGTCCAACTCATGTTTAACAGGGATGTCCATAATGGTCTCACCTAAAAACATGATTCTATCGGTTGGATGATAATCCTCCCACTACATTAATGTACCGATGGAGGAATCTGTGTAATAGATGATGCTGACGCATCAATAGAGAATTCATATATTATTCTCAATCTCTATAATAAGTGTGTTCACATATGGTACATCTGGTACTCATACCATATTCTCTAACATTATGCTACTAGGTATGTAATTCATAATATGATCCTCCTATAGATAAACAGTGAGTGTAAACAATCAACTTTTATCATTGAGATCATAAAATAATCCATCCTAGTGACTTTTAGAGTAGCTATCAAATCTATCATGCGTATGATCTGTTTCCAACTTACTTGTCTATATCAAGCGCACATGTGCAAGACTACCCAATATGTACATGTGATTCAAACTAAGATTTAGTAAAAAACACAGCTCAACGGTATCCTTGAGACAGACTAAGATGGAATGCAGTTCATAATGCGCATCGATGTAATTAACGCTAAACTCTTAAATGAAAGAGATAATATAGCATAACTGATCATAGATCTAACCATGTTAAGTGGAATTCTGTTATTCCTATTTGACACCTAAATACATTTAGGGTCAATTGCGGAAAACTGGTACATAATACCCTCATTGACCATATAGTCTTTGCACTATCCCAAGAAATACTCATATCCTCGATCAGATCGAAGTGTCTTGATAAGTTTACCTAATATGTGTTCCACATCAGTCTTAACCTTCTCAGAATATACCAAGAGTTTAAGACTTGTGTTGCATCAGATAAACTTATCCAAAACGTGAGTAATCTTGCTTGGATGTTCATAAGACCACACGTGTCAGTGTGTATCGACTCCAATTGTCCTTTATGTCTATTTCATCTGGATGATTAAGGCCTAAGAGTTATCTATCCTTCAAAACAGGGTTCACAAGTTTGGTTTAGGCTCTCCTGCCTCATTAGGTAATTAGCCTTCTTTGACCAATCTTTGAATCTTATTTTGATTCATAACAACCTAAAAATAGACATTAAAAATACAATGAGTCAAGAATAACAATTTTTCTCTTAACATTCAATCTAGAAGGTGTAACATTAGTTTTTATATCCTGCAAATCTTAAAAGTTTGTGATTATAGTATATTAACCATCTTTCAATACACCAGAAGCAATAGCATATCTATTTAATTTTATAAAACCAGTTTTACAAAATAACAACACAGTTTTTATAAACCATAAGTGAAACAAAAATTAGATTACGTCTAACTTCTGTGCATAAAGATAGTTTTCTAATACTAATATCCTCATACTCTCTAATTTCTGATGTAATACTCCCACTGACCTAACTACAACCTTGGCATCAGGTCAAAAGATAAATATATATCCATATCATCAAGGCTTCTGGATTCTTGAAATCCTTACGATGAATTGCAAACATGTTTAGTGGCTCCAGAATCTATCCATCAGGAATTAATAGATGCAACCACATAACATAGCTCAATGATTAAATATATATTTTCCTATGCCACGTCATTGCTTAGACAGTTCGTCCTATAGTGTTTTAGTTAACGGCAAAAGAAAAAGTTTCATTCGCCCTCAACATACACTGCCTTATTCCCTTTAACCTTTTAGATACCTATGTTTTGTGCTAGCCTAGTCCTATTATCATCCTTCTTCTTTGCTTTGCCCGTCCACTTGGGCCTAGAAGAAGATGGTATAGACTAGGTTAGATTGATAGGAACGCCCAAACTCTTAATTATCCCTTCATCTGTTACCAATTCTATAAGAATATCAGCGAGTGTGAACTCAAACTGATTCCTTATTTAGTTCACTCTAACAGAGTCGAACGAGTTTGGTAACAAGGCAATAATCATGTCAACTTGAAACTTACCACCCAAGTCAGCCCTATTGATCTCCAGCTAATTTTAAATAATAAACAATCATTTTCCAAAATTCGATTTCATACTGGAGTTCCTTAGGCTATCTTGATGCTATTCAAGTCTGATATAGTACTTTAGCATACTCTCTATCTAATCTCACCAAAACATCTTATTGACATTTAACATGATGCTTTAAGAAAATAAAATAATGTAAATGTTAGCTTTGGAGCGTATTCGATGTAAACTCTAGAATATTGCACCAATTCATCTCATTTGCCTTATTTCACTTATTCAAAGTATTAATATTCTCTTGGGTATTTTAAAGTAAAAGGATTAGATTTTAGGAGTAGTAAATACATTTGTACCACCACGTTGTGAATAAAATATCTAAATTCCTTTTCTAGTCATTATAAATGAAGTCCACATACATTGAATATGTAAGCAAGTAGATAAACTGGATTAGACATAATTAATCTGAATATAAATGCATTCATACAATATGCAAGGTGAATTATTAATACTGTCATGCATATTTAAAATTAAAATGAGCTTGTTAACCATATAATACAATAAATCTCAATCGAACAAGAGATCATTATCATTATTGGTGAACAATCCCTTTTAATTAATACGGGTCCCTCAACTCTGTAGCATAATAAATCAACCAATCAATATGTCAATAACTTATCCTGTTGGAGGAGTTCATTATTACTATTGTTGAGATTCATTTACTATTAAGCGAGCACTTCCATTAAAATAGTATGTGGGTCCCTTAACCACTGCATGAAAAATCGAATAACCAATACGCCAATAACTTATTCGGTTGACGAAGTTCATTATTGCTATTGGCGGGCAAATCCCATCATTTCCATATCTCTTAAGACAATGCATTGTCTATCTATATGAAATAATTCCCGATTATGTTTAGCCTTTCTAAAATCACCTAGTATAGACCACTCCGTTGGGGAGCTAACACTATTGATTTTAGATTGAGTGTATAACGTTATTAAAACTCTAATGAAAAATAAAATATTAAATATCTTGTCATTATAATCTAGACTCTTTAAATCATGCGTAGGGCCTTATTTTTAAAGATCTAATTAGAATGAACATTTAATATTATTATTTTCATGAGATAACCATTCTTGTAATATTAAGACTCTTCAAATCATGCGTGGGGCCTTATTTTTGAAGACCTAATTACAATGGTGTTAATAACAAAGGCCATGGGGCAATGTATAAAAATCCCCGCTCCCACTCAATTTTTAATCATTCATAATTAGGGTTTTCATTTTATTCATTTACATGATATAATGCATGCAAAACGTCTTGATTTTAATCCAATTAAATTTAGAAAATATTTGGACTTTAAATGATTCACTAATATTTAATTTGAGGCACACTTTTTTAAAATAATTTACAAAAATAATTTTTCATTTCCCAATAAGTGCCCTCTAATTAATTAGTAATCAAATCCAATTAATTTTCATAATTTAACTAATATAAATCAAACCATTAAATAAATATCATGGATCCAATGTATGAACAATAATAATTAGCAATTAATTATTTCATGCATCACATACAACAATAAATAAATGACAAATAAAGCAAATTAAATGGCCAATGGATTCAGCTTTTAACATTTAATTGCTCTAAGTATTGCGCGAGGGTCTATCATTAGCCGCGTCACATGGGATAATTTCCCATCAATCCTTCTTGATCTCCGGCCAAAACCTTGCCGCCAACAACTCTCCGGTCACCGGAAAATTGCCGAAAAATTCCAGAAATTAAATTAGGCCTTAAAAAAAATTCCAGAAAAATTCCAGAAAATTTCTAAAAAATCCCAGAAAATTCCTGAAGCCTAATTTAACCGTTTTGGACCTTCTTGAAGCTTCATAGCATCCTTTGACGAAGATTACATGGCTTTAAAAATATTTACAATTTGAAATACAATGGAAAAAATTAAATTACATCATTGAACTTTCAAACGGCTAAATCAAAGCCTTAATTACATTCATCCAAAAATAAAATTACATTAATTTAACCTATAAGCTTCATCCATGACCCAACCATACATCATCATTCATTCACAATTATTCATACATCATCATGTATCAATATATATCAACATATTAAATCATACATCAACATACATCAATAAAAATATATATGAATATAATTTTAGATCCATGAATGATGATTTTCATAAAATCATGATCTCTAATAATGAATCAAACCATGCTCTGATACCACTGTTGGGAAACGTGCTAGTTTTAAAAACTTTTTGAGGGATTTTAATTCATACATCTTGATTCATCACATAGAGACAAGTTTTATGCAAAAATAAAAATATGATATATCATTCAATTAATGGATTGAATACTTACATCAAAGGTCTGAGTAAACCTTTAAAACTTTCCTCTAAAGTGAATGTTCTCACTTATTGTAGATCTCTTAGCAAGATGCCTTCTCCTTAGATCTCCATCTTCTTGATAATTACTTTACCTTTAAGAATCACTCATAAGCCTCCATAAATTATCTTGGAAAACTAGGCTTGTGGGAGCCTGCCTCCATGAATTATCTTGGAAAACTAGGCTTGTGGGAGCCTCCATTAGATGAGAACATAAACCCTAATTTTCTAGAGAGAGAAAATATATATTCCTTTTTCCTTCTACTAAAAATCACCCCTAAAATATACATAAACCATGTATATTTATAGGCAACATAAAGGTAAAGAAAAGGAAACAACTAATCCTTCTCAATCTCTAATTCACATGTCTCAAATCTAATATGATTCCAATATCAAGTTGGGCTATGAGTGAGAATCCATTGGGCCTATTATTTTATTGGCTACAATGAATTAATAATTGGCCCGGTCCATGGACCCAATTCAATTAATTCATAAATTAATTTCTACTCCACTAAAAGAAATTAATTGAACTCTAATTAAATAATAAATAACATGTAAGTCAATATTGCACTTTGACCCCTCTATGCATAATTAGTTATCGGATAAACAAAGCCATCAATCCGACTACTTAATTAATATATTTATTTTGGTACCTTTGATTATTTCTGGCTCGATCACAATAAAACATTTGTTTGACAAAAATAATAATTTAAATAAATAAATATATAATAAATCATTTTGTCTAAAAATACACGAAGGCATTCGAATTTACTTTGTGATCAACCATAATCAATACAAAATAAATACAAGTAGCAATGATGCAAATATTGAAAATATAACCCTCTAACTATTAATTACATAACTACCCAAAGTGTCGGTCTAAGGATCCCGAAGAATCCGCCGAATAAATCAAAGTAATTATTAATTAATAAAAGAGTCTATAATTTTCTCATACTTAAGAGTCAAATGCCATGACGGTGATAGGGAGCAATTGCATACGACGGCTCTCGCAATATATCTCAACCTAACGCGGATCCAGTTCAAATCTTAATTAATTATGAGTCCATCTATAATTACCGACTATGAACCATTTATGATTACTATTTATATATCATGCATTGATTGCCATCACAAACATATATATAAATATCTCTTGTAATCAAATGGACACTATCAATTCTATAATGAATCGAAATATAATACATTGAATTCACCAATTGTATAAAACATAAATATTTCATAAACGTCAGGAACATATGTCACTTTAATCCAAACAGGAATTTGCTATGTCAGGGCATATAAATCCCAACAATTGATGAGTGCAAAGACCCAAAAAATTACCCTTGCCCAAAGGGTGCTCTCTGCAAGAACACTGAAGGTAGCTACTTATGCCCTTGTCCTTCTGGTCACAAGAGTGATGGAAATGGAACTGGATGCAAACCTGACCAAGGGAGACAATTATTAGCTCTAATGATTTTTTTATACTTGAAATGTACAACTTTTAATTTACATTTTTTTCTTGTTGGTTCAAAAGACATTGATGAGTGCAAAGACACAAAAAGATATCCTTGCCCAAAGGGTGCTCTTTGCAAGAACACTGCAGGTAGCTACTCGTGCCCTTGTCCAGCTGGTCACAAGATTGATGGAAATGGTACTGGATGCATAACTGACCCAGGGAGGCGATTATTAGCTCTAATTATTCCTTTAAGTAAAATCCTTTGACATACCATTTTGCCCTCCTCTCCATGAAATTGTGCTCACTTTTATTTCTACACATGCAGGCTTCGGAATTGCTATTGGCATTCTGCTATTGATTGCTACAGGTTTATAGTTGCACGGTGAGCATAAGAAGAGACAGAAAAACAAACTAAAAAAGAATTTATTTAAGAGGAATGGAGGTTTGCTATTGCAACAACAGATCTCTTCTAGTACTAATAGTGTTGCGAGAACAAAACTCTTCATCATAGAAGAGTTGGAGAAGGCGACAGACAATTTTAGCAATAGTCGATTTCTTGGCAAGGGAGGGCTTGGTACAGTTTATAAAGGGATGTTATCGGATGGAAGCATTGTGGCTATTAAGAAATCTAACAAAGTTGATGAAAATCAAGTTGGTCAGTTCATAAATGAAGTTATTATCCTCTCTCAAATAAACTATAGAAACATTGTGAAATTGTTAGGGTGCTGCTTAGAGACTGAAGTTCCAATACTAGTTTATGAATATGTCTCAAAAGGCACCCTCTCCGAGCATCTTCATGATGAGGGCCATGCTTCGATGTCTTGGGATAATCGCTTGAGAGTTGCAGGGGAAATTGCTAGAGCACTTGCCTATTTGCACTCGTATGCTTCTACAGCTATCTTTCATAGAGATATAAAGTCTAGCAACATACTGTTGGATGAAAATTATAGGGCTGTAGTATCTGATTTTGGACTTTCAAGGTCAGTGCCACTTCACCAGACTCATTTGACGACATTCGTTGGGGGCACATTTGGTTACTTGGATCCAGAGTACTTTCGATCAGGGCAGCTTACTGATAAAAGTGATGTTTATGCCTTTGGTGTAGTTCTTGATGAACTCCTAACGGGGGAAAAAGCCGTCTCTTCTGATAAATTTGATGAAGGTCTTGTACTTCATTTTTAATCGTCAATGAAACAGAATCGTTTGTTTGAAATTCTAGAGCCACTGGTTGTGAATGACGGTAAGGAAGAGGAGATTCAAGCTATCGCTACTCTTACTGAAAGATGCCTAAAACTGAATGCAAGGAAGAGGCCAAATATGAAAGAAGTAGAAGCAGAACTGGATCAATTGAGAAAGATAAGAGAGCAGCCACTACTCAAGCAGAACAGCGAAGACAACTACGGTTCGGCAAGTGAAAGGTCCCATTCTGACACAATTGATGCAGTTGAAGAATAAAAATAATAGTCCACTTATAATTTCAATCTTTACTGCATGTAATTAAATTTTTAAAATCTGTTGGCCATAAAATTTTGGAGTGAAGCTGGTTCCCTTTAGTGTGTATTAGTTTTACTTTAATAGGCAGACATATTAGAGTACTCTGATAAGTTGATTGGTGTCAGTTGTGTGGTGTTCAATGCATGTATATTTTATGAAATTGTTGCTTTGTATTTGGTTATTTCTTATTTCTCTTTTCAATGGTTGGCCAAGTAATGTTGAATTGTTGATGGAAATATTCAACTTCAACAGAGGTGTAGTTTACAAGATGTGCCATAAAGAACTGTTTCTTTTCCATTTTCCCTTCCTTTGGGATGAGAAATTATCAGTTCTTTTGTATTTGATTGATGTTTTTTTGGTTTTGGAGTTGGGAATTGTTGTTCATTCAACCATATCCCAAAATATTATATCAGACTGAAAGAATTATAAGGGAGCATGTAGGACATAATTTAGTAACATACAATTCTAGTATTAAATTGCATAATATTTAGCACCAGGAAAAACCACATATCTTAAGCCAAAGCAAAGTATGTTGTTATCAATTCCCGTGGTCACAAGCTAAGTCCACATAATTTTTTTTTGAAACAGGTGTCGCTCTCCCATTTTGCACGCATTACTAATTTTCATTTTATATGACTTAAATTTTGTAATTTTCATGTTCTCCCTCTGACTTATGTCATAAGTTTTTATTATTATTATTATTTTTTCTCTGGTGTGTGATGGTCATAAGTTCATAACATAAAAGTTGCAACATCTAAAATCAAACTTTGCAACATTGACGTTTACAATCAAAGCTAGTTCCGGACCAGGTAGGGATGTAAATTGGGCTCGTGGGTCCAAAGTCTTCTCAGATAAAGCTTTGGCCAATGGCCATGCGTTAGGCTTGACCCAACATGGATCCAACTTCAGCCGTCAGACCCACACTATGCAATCATAGACTTTGTGTGACATTGGTGTGAGAAGTCAATTAATTCTTCTCAACAGCTTATGACTTAATTCTGTGGCTCCTGCTCTTACTCTTGTTCTCCCTTTATGTTACTTAGGGTGTGACACCATTTTCTTTTAGAATCAAGATAAAAAAATTCTGAGAAAGTATAAAAACCTCTATTTCGGCTTAATAGGATGTATTATTGTAAGTAATTTGTAAATTCATTATATCATTGTAAGTAATTTGTAAATTCATTATATCATTGTAGTAGCTTAATACTTTTCACCATCCAAAGTAAAATATCAAGAATTCAATTCTCCGTGGGAATAAAAGTGAGTGTTTAATTTTTTTTCAAGGTAAATTAATAGGATGTATTATTGTAAGTAATTTGTAAATTCATTAGATCATTGTAGTAGCTTAATACTTTTTCACCATCCAAGGTAAAATATCAAGAATTCAAATTCTCTGTAGGAGTAAAAGTGAGTGTTTAATTTATTTTCAAGATAAAATAATAATAATAATAATAAACTCTAATTTCATTTTTAATTTTATAATTCACTGTAATAAATTATTAATTTTATAATTCACTGTAATACTTTGAACAACTTAAATACAGCGGGAGTCAGTTGTTGCCATTCCAACTTGACTTTTGTTTTAGGTGGTGTTTTATGATTAAGGGAATCCCTAGCCTCTTCTTCATTTATTTCCACTGCATAGCTTTGCCTGGTAGAAGTCTTTCATTAGCCTTTACTATATATTCCCTCTGTCCCACTAAATAAAATTTAAGATTTGATCTTAATTCTGATGTGGTAATAATTAAAAAGATATTAATATCATCTATTTTAATATATATTATATGCATTTGTGTTACCTATTTTAGCAAACTAAATAAATTGTCAATGAAAGAAAAAGGAAAGAACCAAACAATTAGATTAGGTTTCTTTCTCTATCTCTAATTTGCTTTCCTCTGCTAATATTTTTTATTATATATATATATATATATATATATATATATATATATATATTCTTTTATGCTTTCCTCTGCTAATATTTTTTATTACATATATATATATATATATATATATATATATATATATTCTTTTATGGACTCTCTATATTTTTCAATTACTCAAATTAATCAGAAAATACTAAATTAAAATATAATAACATAAACCTTAAGTTAATTATGTAAATTAGGGTTTTATTACGAAAAAAGAGATCATTCATTCATGGTAAAAAAAAATTGTAACTTCTAATTTAAATCATTAAACGATTTCCTACGAAAGAATTTTTATTCGCGAAAAAGATGTCACTCATTCATGGTAAAAAATTGTAACTTAGACTTTTAATAATTTAAAGATTTAATAGAAAGGGTCTCCAAAATCGAAAATATATACAAAATTCAATTCAAATTATTAAGTTATATGAGGGTTTGGATCCTATAATTATAAGTTTTGTCATTTTTCTCTCTCTATACTAAGATATTTTTTATATTAAAAAGTTTAATTTTAGAGCACACAAAACATTCAAATAAGTTGACAAATAAGTAGCCATCTAATTCAAGATAAAATCACAAATCAAAAATTCGTGAAATATAACATTTTTCTTAATTATATTTTCCCCTCTTAAAATTACTATATTATACTTTAAGTTTGAATGAGCCATGTCATAAAAATGAATTTTTTTTTTTTTTTATTTAAAAAGTGTTGATGAGAAAATGCATTACAATGAGACCACTATTTTTGGAAGGTGTAAAAAAAAAAAAAAAAAAAAAAAAAAAAAAAGAAAAAAGGAAAAGAAAAAGAAGAAAGAAATAAAGATGGATAACTAATTTGGGACAAAAAGAGTACGGGTTAAAATCACATGCCGTGATTAGAATTCAATTGTATTTTGAGATAGTAAAATAATTCAGGTGAAAAATAAAAATAATTTGGAAATCAAATGAAGAATTAGTAAGGATCAATTTCTTAATTTTGGAATCAAAATCAAACCGTTAGAGAAACCGAATTAAAGTGTTGGTTCTGTTCGCACCAATTTTTTTGCTTTCAAAAGTTTTTTGTGCAGCCTATAGAGCTATGTTAAAAGTTTTTTTCTATTGATATTCAAAGATACAACATTCATTACATCAAGAGACATACACCATTACAGAGAATGTAACATATAAAACACCAACTTCAAAAATGTAACATTCGTAACACTTGCAACCTTTTTTTTATTAACGGATTATGTTATAAATAAAAGGAAAAAAATCACATAACCCTTTTTACTATTATTTTAATATAAAAAACTTCACTTAAATTAAAAAGTTCCTCAACTAAAAAAATGCTATAAGTTGCCACATACTTGACCACTCGTTTATTAGGTTATGAAATGACAAAATTAACTTTTAAATTTAATATTAAATTTAAATTTAAAACTGATATTTATTATTATGATATTATAAAAATACCCCTAACCCCTTATCTTCTTCTTCCTCTTCACTCTCTCTGATAAGAAGCTTCTTTTTCCGAATTACAGCCAAATAGTTAATGAGAATAAACCGCAGGCCTTCATAATCATAAAACTAATGATATCGATTGAAACCATACAAAGAATTTCACAAATACAGTCCTATTAACACCCCCAAATTCAGGGCTGTCAAAAAAAAAAACAGCTTTTTAGTAGCAATGGATTTCATTCACTTACTCAAGTACGAGCATACAAGCCTCAAAGACTACTTGTTTAACAAATCATGCTCAAGCGTTAGTTTTAAACTTCAATCTGTACCATAACCCAGCAAAAAAGAAAGGGTATCAATGAATAGATTAACAAATTATATAAAGCCTAAGAGTAGTAGTTGTAATCACCAATTTTTTTTTTTTTTTTTTTTTTTTTGGGTAAACAAATCACTAATTTGCTTTAGTAAAGTTAACTATATATATTATTATTTTTAAAAATTTGAAGTATTAGAAAGTCATAGAAAAGGAAAAACAATATTACGACAAGCTCTTGAACTCAAACAAACAAGTTAATCTAATTAACAACTCAATTAAGTATCAACAATGAAAGTTAAGTAATGGTATACGGGAAAAGCTTTGAACTTGGTTCAAGATTTATTCAGATTCAATCAAGAAAACCTAACAACACAATATATACACACGCGCATATATTATATATTTTCCAAATATCCAATTAGAAAGATTCCTCAATTCAAATTCCAATAATGTGTTAGTCCATTAATAATAGCAAGAATCGCATAGAAAAAATCACAAAAAAACAAAAAAATAAAGAAGATTGTAGACGCATGAAAACTTTCCTGGGTATTATTGCGTTTGATCATAGCCGCATCCTTTCCTTTCAGACCCTACGTACAATGTTAAAAATTAATGGCCAACGTTGGAGAAGCTTCTTATCAGAGAGAGAGAGTGAGAGTGGAGTTAGGTTGTGAATTTTCCCCCTTTTTTGACCCGTTTATCAGAGAGAGAGAGAGAGAGAGAGAGAGTGGAGAAGCTTCTTTTTTATCAGGGTGAGAGAGAGAGTGAAGAGGATGAAGTAAGGGGTTAGGGGAATTTCACAATAATAAATAGCAATTTTAAATTTAATATTAAATTATAATGTTAATTTTGTCATTTCACAACTTAATAAACGGGTCGGTCACGTGTATAGCTAACGCATTTCTTTAGTTCAGGTGGGTTTTTAATTTTAGTGGGAATTTTTTTTTTGCATGAAAATAATAGTAAAGTGTAAAAAAATCCCTTAATATACAGGGTTTGTGCAGAATTATTTCTTATTTTTTGAAAATATACGCATTAATCCATAAAATTAAAAAAATATGCAAATAAACACCTCTAACCTCTTTTTAACAAAAAAAAAAATAAATATAAAAATTCCATTTTACCCTTTTTATTCTTATTTTACCCCAAAACAGAATGTACATGAAAGCCTAACCCCATATCCTATTCCCTCTCTCTTCCCCCTTCTGCATAAAACCCTAACAAAATCACCACCGCTGACGCCCCATATTACAGCAGATGAGACTTTCTTGATTTTTCTTGATTTTAGTTGATTAACTTGTCCGTACTCTTTATATTAATGAAAATTTCCTCTTTTTGAAAGGCAGGAACAAACTGGCAAGTGAATTGAAGGATGTGGTGCTCAATGGTTGACTGATTTGCTTTCATTGTGCTCAACAGATTTGATGGGTTGAGTATATGATCTTGTTGAGGAGAGAGGGAGAGACAGAGAGGAGACTGTTGGTTCTTTTTTTTTTGTTTGTGTGTTTACTTTGAAAAATACCCAAATCAAATTTGCATAAAAAAAGGAAAACAGATAACACATATGATGTAGAAAGGG